AAAGCTATCGAAAGCGTATTAGGATATTAATAGACGCTCTAGGTCGCTATCAAATGACAGCAGATCGATGGGAAAAAAAGCTGCGATTACGTGAAAGGTCGAGCATGGACTGTAGGCAGTAGAGACATGTTACGTAACTAGGGCTCCTTCTTATTGGATTGGTTGCCTCCGTAATTGCATGACTCTCGATACTTGAAGGATTTTTCAGCCTCGTGTTTCTGACTAGCTCGAGAGTTCGATATCGAATAGACCGCGTAGACTGTCTGTGTACTCTATCGTACTCATGGCTGATTTTTAAACATTTGTATATCGTAATAATGACTACGTTGTATCGCATCGACCTATGTTAATTTTGTAGTGTAATAAAGGTGTTAACGTTGTTCCGTTTCCTTTTGGTATTATTAGCAACCAGAAGCTGTTGGACAAGACAGCGTGCCGGAACTGGCTCTTACACCACTGGATCCTATATTACTCGGCTCTCGTGTGCTCGCTCGTGGCTTCCGCGTGACCGTGCGAAACAACTCAAAAGAGCTGCCCTGAAATGAACGAAATGACATTTAAATGCGATCGAGTTCCCGGGAATCCCGCAGCCCAGGCATCATAGAGACCTGGAAGAAAACGAATCATATTTCATGATTCCGACGGAGAGAACGCGACGGGTCCATCGGACCGCGCGGAAGCAGAGACGCAGATGCCCGTGAAAAGGTAACGAAGGAAGCGACAGTTTTGGTAATCGGTGTGCGCGTTCCGTATAATGCCGACAAGAGGCGTAGCCGCCATCGGATGCACAAGATACGACACGACACGACTCTTCTGCTCCGACTCCGGAGCTCATCGTCTCGATCTGCCCTTATCCGGCCACGGATCTAACTTCTATCCAATCCACGCTCGTCCGCGCTTCTCGACTGCTATTTCCGAGTAAACGTTCGCTAAGCTGGGCCTTATTTTTCGATCGTTCAATTTTTTCGAAACACTCCCGAGAAGCGTGCCACTTCGGTAGAAAAATAGCTCGTGTCAAATTCCAAATCCATACGAGTAACGGAACCTTCTCCAAGTTACGACGTCGAGATTATGCTCTACGACGTATTACCGACCCCTTCGCCTAAACTATTTTTAGCGAAAGTAAATGAAACGCAACTCAAAATCTTCCACGTTATAATTTAATCGAAAAACGCTGATCGAAGATCCGAGCAGCTTCCGCGTGTTTGTCTTTCCTCTCTGCGTGCGTTGTGTAGGATCGTCCTTGCGCTTATAAGAGACTCGACGATAACAGGACGACGCGACGCAGCATCCAGAGAAAATTTTGATTTGTGTCTCGAGATGTATCGTTCGGTGGTGATTCGCGCCACGGATGTTCGCATGCACGATGACGGGATCGTCGAGGCTTAAAGGAAGAAGAAAAGGCACCGACGAAGCCGCTCTTCTCTTCTCGCTCCTCCTCTCCTCTGGCGGTCTGTGCTCGGCCCATCAGCCTTCAGCGTTCGCGTTCGCTCCGAGCTTGCGTGCCAGTCAGCATTGGCAAGTAATTTCTTGCACGCAATTGCCCGCTACTGGAATTGCCTGGTAGGCGACCTCAGTCCGTCAGTCATTTACTTTTTAAATCGAGCCTACCTACCTACCTACCTACCTAACCTTCCTCTACCCGCCCGGCTGACTGGCTGCCTGCCTGCCTGCCTGCCTGCCTGACGGACGGACGGACTGCCGCGCCGCGGCCAACTTCACTCCGCCTGTGAACTGTGTACGCGTGTTCGAGCATACATTTCCCAAACGCACCGATCCCGCGATAAACCCCTTTCCTTTTTACTACGCTTCGTGATTAACCGGTTCAAAAATTATTCGATCATTCAGACATAATAACGTCCTCGAATTGAAAATAATACAAACGATATTTCCGAATCCGCGAATGAAGGTTGCGTACCCCCACCTTGTCTACCTTGGTACCGTGGAAGAAGAATCGTAGCTTTTACGCTTACGCGTTACCAGCTGATAACATTTGACCGGGATTATTCCTTAGGAAACGTGTACACCAAGTCTTACTTGCAGGTTTTATTCGCAACTATGTAAGAAGGAAGAATTATCGTTCCGAATCGAACGTACCAATGACGAATAATTGTACGTTCAGCAGCGGTTACGTTTCCATTCGTGCACGACAAGCTGACTTGTCCAGGAAGAGGAAAGCGACGAGCAAAACGAGTGCATCTTAATCGTCTCTTGTTATTGGCTTTCTAGACCGAGCGTGCCGAGTTCGTGGGAATCTTCTATCTAGCGCTGAAAAGAGGATGCGTGGCCTGCGTTCAGCGAAGATTATCCAATCGATAGAGGCGAAGGAAAATACGAAGCCAATATTATCAAAATTTTAATTATTCGCAATTTAGTGGAAATACAATAGGTTAAGATGGAACGAGAACTGGTACAATCTCCGAAATAATCTGAAAATTTCCTTTCGACGTCGCGGCAAGCAAACATCCGAGCACCCGCGACACTTGAAAGATCGTTTCTGGAAGTTTATAACGCGATTCGGCGTCTAGTAAATCGATCATAGGCTGTCGGAGAAATTCTGCTCATGCAAAACGAATCGCGGATAAAATCTGACCGTGCGCCGACGCGTACGTATGAGAAATCGACTCTACACGATCCGCACGTGAACCGTTGCCGTACATCCATACCCCCGGGGAAAACAACCCTTCACCGAATACGGGATAGGCGTAACAAACGCTCGAGATCTTTTCCCGCGATAACGACAATCCTCTATTTTTCTTTCCTCGCTCGCGACAATACGACTTTCAACCTGATTTCCACTCGAGAGAGGATTCCAGTGTAACAGGTTCAAAAAATCGAATTTTGCTCTGTTTGGATACATCAAAAGTACAATGTTTCAAGAATGTATTTCAAAAGTAGCATCGCAATTAAGATTGAAATAACGAAATTACAATCCACTCCGTGAGACCGGTCAAAGTCGAAAACGGCCAGCTCTGCAGTCGATATCTGTCTTTCTCTCGAATAAAACCAGCTAGAGCACATGAATTAATAACGACCGAAGTGGAGAAAAAGATTCGTGAAATTCGCCACTTCTTTACAGTTGTTTCACTGTAATCCACCCTTACTCGGTAAAAATATCAACAATAATATTACGGATATCGGATTAACCATTTTTTTCGAAGAAACAGCTTCGAATGGTGAAATTTCAGTGTCCTCTGATCGAATACCAAGGTAAATTTACGTCGCGCAGGTGTAAACATTCCAAGTAAAGTCATCCAAGTCGTAACTATTGCAATCTCTGGAACGTAAATCGCAACACAGATTCGCTAAAGACATTCTTGCGACTAAATACGATGGCCGATAAGGTTTGGAAATCGAGAAATTACACCGTACATCAGCGTTTGCTGCGAAGGAATTGTTCGAGTTAATTAATCGCGAGTAAAGAACGAGCAGCTCGCGCGAACAAAGAAAATATTCTCGTGGAACGACTCGATGTTCGCCATTTCAGTCGCGATAAGAAGAAAAATTTCTAACGCGACACAGCCTCTGGACGGCGAATCATTTGTCACGGTCTAACGTGTCCAGTAGCGAGACGCTTATCACGCGACGCAACGCTGCGTCCATTTCGTTGCATTCGCTATGCTCGCATGATGGCGCCACAAATCCACGATCATTTTAGCTAGAAATATTGTTGGCATTGTGAAATTCGTAATCGTCCGGAATATTGATCGAGATTACTCGCGTGTTCGATAACAGGTTATACTTGTATGGAATCCGATAGAAAATTGAATTTTGAGAAAAAAAACCGAGCAGGTTGGACAGTTAAACTTTATACAACAACTACAACGCGGATGATAAATTTAATCGACGAACGTTATCGCGGTGCGGAACAAACAAAGTAGCGTGGTGGACTAGCCTTGACCTTTGATAATAGTGTTGAGATTCGTCGATATATTTCGACGGATCCGTCGTAACGGAGACAGTTCGCGAATGCGATCGTTGAGCTTCCTACGAGAAGAAAGAAACGCTAAATCGACGAGTAACTGGATCATCGTTGACCAAGGATGCGCTACTGGGTGATAGCGTTCGCGTTGGCGGTGTTCTTCATGGCGTTAGTCACCGGTCGTCCATTCACCGATACCGCCGAATTCATTCAGATAACGACCGATTCGAACAACTTGATTTCCGAGGGCACGATTATAGTTACTCCTTACCGAAAAAAGAAGTGCCCGCAGTATGAGAGAGTAGACCGTCGCGGCAACTGCAGAAAGATTTGGTAAACGTCTGGAGGGATAGTAGAAGGAAGCAAAATATTAAGTAAATATAGTCTAGAAATACATTAAAATGGAAAAACTGACGAAAGAAATACTTGACAAACGATAGACGAACGAAAGCTTCACGGGGAGGAAATCTCCAGCCTTGGTACAACAGCCCTAACGATACCAAACTTCCGAGTTTACTAGTATCGTACGATAAGATGCCACCGTGATAAGATAATATTTCCAGCTACACTCGAGACTGTCACGATTCCCAGTTCTGTGCTCGATGTTCTCGTCCGGCAGTGTCACGATCCGTGAACAAAGAAATGTAACCAAGAATTCGGTGGAAACACGGCTGTGATAGACCACGTTTCGCGTAGCGAATAAGAAAATAAAAAGAATCTTTTGGCCGATAGTGGGATCGTAAGACGCAAATTCGGTTCATCGGTTCGAGGAAATTGTGGCAGTGGACGGTAGTAGAGGATTCCCTTGGTCGTCATAGGGACGATCTAAGATTTATAAAAGCTGATCCTTCGACTTGCGCGCAACATGAGACTTCCGTGGATCGCTGCACTGTTGCTGACATTCGTTTTTCTCCAGTCTACTCGCACGTGTGTCGCTAATACGACTTTGCTCGTGGAGAGGCAATTCGTGCCTTTCGAAACCGCCAGGATCGACAAGGGCTCGTTCATCAACGTTCCAGTCAACTGTCCGCCAGACCGGGTGAAAGTCGGAAATCGCTGTAGAGCTCTGTTCTGAGTAAGTCGCGTTTCCTCGTTTAAGAAGATAAGCACGATAAAAGAGGCTTGCCGATAAATGTCGATTAAATAAAAATATATATCAAACGCTAGTGAAACAAATTTTACGATAAGCAACTGCCGATAGGATACAGTGCGACATAAATTAACGAAGGAATAACGCGCATTGTCTGTTCACGTTTTCATTCTAAATGTATATCTTGAAATGAACCGATCCCACTACACGATCATCGTTACACACGAAAGGCTGTACCGACGAAGGATTCTTCTTCTTCCCGCAACGCTAAATCGATAAAGAAGTTTGTGGGACCATTTACCCAACGAGGGCAACGATAACATGTACGCACACTTGGAAAAACAGACCATGCGGATAGAAATTCTAAATATAGAAAATACAAATAATTTGTGCGATAAGATAACAATTAATCATATGTCTCAGGAAGTTCGTATCGTCGATAAACGCAAGATTATCAAAAGAAGGAAACTGCCTTATCGCTTGTTCGTAACTTAATTAAGATTTCGATAATAAATAAACGAAACGATACCTTTTCCTTTTATTTTGTTGTCTACGAATCTTACTCCTTCTAGCTCCTTCTAGCTTACGTACACAACGATATAACGTTATCGTCCGTGAAATAAGGCGATATCTACTTTAACGTATATCGATAAATAAGCTATGATAGTAGATTACAATTCCTTCGCGAAGAGTTATGTAAAACCACGAACTTGAAAAAGTTCTTTATGTGTTAAAATTTAATTGATCGCATTTTTACCTCATAGAGTATAGGCCTACCTCTAGTTTCGAGGGCGAACCTTCTTACCATTTCGTTGTCACTTTCAACGTTATCGAGTGAGGCGGAAATAAAATATTAGCGCTAATCTGAGCAAAATAAAAACTAAAAAAAAAAATGTCAAAATGAATTGTTTTATGAATTTAGGTACAGATCATAAGCTCCATTTATTGAAAAGGAAGTACGAAAATTGTTAATATTTTTATCATACGAATTAGATCAATTTAAAAATATTGGATTTATTCTTGTATCTTAGGACTAAAGAATATCGTAAGATAATCGCTAATCTTAATTCATCCTGGATCGATAAGATAACATTTTATATCGAAATTCATATAACATATTTTTCCGCCGGATGTTGGATTCCCAACTCAATTATAACGTTACCGAATAGGATGTTACAAGCAAAATATTAATCAACCATATATCAACCCTGTAAGGTGTCCGCAATACAAAATATAATAATATTCGACGAATTCGTCGTATCTTAAAAATAATTGACGTAATAATCAAGTAGAAACCGCATTGTGCGTGACCAGGATATGAATTGTAACCGCAAATTACTGCGATCAAGACGGAAAAGGGGAGGGAAATCGTATTAAAAGGGGACTACACCTCCTGTGTTTTCATTGTACCGTGCGTCAGTAACTAATTTCTACTTGGACACCGTCGATCTGTTGCGTAGAACTCAAGGGAGTCTAACAAGAAGGGACGAGAAACTCTAAAAATCATTTCAGATTTCTACGCGCGCAATGGCACCGCTTCGTTTCGTTATCCTCGCTCTTATCCTAATGGTTATAAGCATGGGAGGTGAATCGAGACCACTGACGTTTCCAGAAAGAAAGCAGACAGGAAAACATTGTCCTCCTGGATACAAATTGGTTCGTAATTTGGGATGCAGAAAAATCGTACCGAGAAAATCGTAACACAAGGTAAATAAATAACACTCATTAAAAATCATACGAAGATATCCGAGACTGATAGCCCAGAATACATCGGTCTCGTATAAGTTGAAACTGATCGCGACGTATACGATATGCATTTGTTTACAGTGAACCTTGGTAACCAAGATCTACGCAGTACCATGAAAGATAATCATTTACGTTCTAAGCATAAAGCGTTGATCTGCGACATTTTCACCCAATATCTGATATCGTAGAACACGCGTTTAACGTACAGTTTATTTTTTTCAATTGTGAATGTCTACGTTATGGTACGTGTAAAATAAATCACAGTTTATCAAAAACAAGTCTTGTCTAGTCTTTTGCGTAACCACTGATTTACGATTAATAAGCAAAATTATACAGTCAGTTAATCTTAATATTCGTAATTACGTAATTCACATATTCAAATAAACCGCGGGGTCAATTTCACAGTGTAAGCACGTGTATCGATCTATCGAGATTTTCATTACGCTGCATGAAACAGAAAATGGCTGCTCACAGTACTTTGATCCAAGTTGAGAAAAGTTCTTGTTTTTCAATGAAAAGAATAACAATTCTTTGCATAAAATTGATCAAACTGTGCGATAACTGTCTAATGACGAGATCGGCGAAATTAATCCACAATACTATTCACGAAATGATGATCGAGGATACATAACCTATCGTTACGCGTTGTAAACAGCGTGTACGATATCTCAAAATAAATTCTGTAGTAATTGATTATGCTGGAAAGAAAATGAAAATGGTGCATACTTTAAAGATGAAGACCACGATAGTACGAGTGGTATGATCATAAGATAATAATGTGGGATTTTTTCAATTTAACACAAGGACAGTGTCTTACATCAAGATCAGGTAATACATTTTTTTTAAGTATCATTATAAATCATTTCGCTAGAATGAATACATATTTGTATATTCTAGGATAGCGTGCAATAAACCAAGTCTGATATCACAGATTACACAGATGCTGGCCTTTCTACGACAAACTTGGCAAAAACTCACCAAACATGCATTGTTTTCTGGTCAGTAAAAAATCCGACGGGCATGCGAGTCTACTTCTGTTCTACTAGTACAATTACGACTGGGATACTTTGTATTCTATATCATTATAGCTACTACGTAATACTATGTATATACTACTCATTAAACTTTTCAGTGACTTGAACTTTTAAATCAGGCTTCTGACAAAAATTAACATTACGTACGAAGAAGCATTTGAACGGAAAACTGCGATTACTTTTCGTTGCATCTCCGAATCTACATATTAAATCACGATTTATAATGTCCCGAGAACACCTTATAAAGTTTTTCTTTCTTTCTACCTTTTCTCATCAACTGCCACCTTGAGACATTGCGTTGAAAAGAGCAACGCGCGACTAGTTTAATTTATACATGCAAATTAATATACCCACGCCCTCCGTCAGCTTCGCAATCCTGTATGAAAAATCTGTTCGCCGAGCAACTTACGAGTAACTTACACGTCAAGTTTTCATCAACTGCGAATATATTTATAGGCTTTTTAATTTCAGCCTAGGTTCGTTATTTTCATAGTATGACACTGTCCTATAATTGAACGGACTTGTACCGATGAATATTGAACGGAAAATGTATCGTTACTTATGGTAGATAACACTGCGTATTGTTAATGCTTGCGTTCCGATAAGCATGAAACAGTCACAGCAATAAGAAAATTAGGAGAAGAACACCGAGACGGTGGTATACGGCGTGGCAACACGTCTATTGCGATTCGTACGTGAGCCAGCGGTGCGTGTATCGCGATGTGTGTGTATGTGACCAGAAATACGCGTCGAGACGTATTCGCTTCAGCAGTCGATCGCGACGCGAGCGGAGGAACCTGCTCAGGTGTGCCTTCTCGCGTTTTCCTCGTGCGCACAGAGTGCAATGCGAACAGCGGGACCGAGCGTCTCGAAAACACGTGTCATTCACGTCGATTTCTCTTAACTGGAAATTACTAGTGCCGATCACCGCGTACGTTCGTGTCGCTGATTTTATCGTCCGCGGAACGAGTCTATATCGTTATTTTTTTTTTCCTTTTTTTTCTAATATTCTAGTGGATACTGAAGAGGAACCGACGCACCGACCTCGCGCGAACATGTCGCACAGCAGACTCAAACCGTTGATTCTCACGGTCTTCGTGATAATACTGGTTATCGGACTCGTAGTGGCTCAAAGGGATACGCGGTTAGTTCCGGCTGTGGATAGTTCCGGCCGTAGCAACGAATTATCGGTAAATCGATCATCTCGGCCCGTTGGCACAATTTTGAACGAAACGTTTCCGTTTCCGTTCCCGTGTTTTAACAATTTCGCTCCCACGTTTTCTCTACGACAAGTAGCGCGAGTATATTTTATCCGACCGTATGGCGATCTTTCAGTGAACGTACACAATGAATGCAACGGAGGCAAATTTGAAGTTTTATTTATCGATTAGCGGATCAAATGTTGTAAGAGATTCGCAAATTTGATAGAACATTGTTGCGAATGTGCCGTAAAAATCCTACGAAATTACACGTTACGAGAAATGGTGATACGCTAGCAAATTACACGGAAACAGTCATCCGTATCGGTTTTGTTGCTGTCACGTTTTTTTTCTCTTTAACAGCCATTCTTCGCTGCAGTTAACAAAAACAGCAGTTGCCGCATGTGTCGGAAATTAGTTCGGTAGAATCGATGCAAATTGCATCCCAATGTTTTGTCGTATTCTTCTCGAATCTATTCATTCTTTTCTTGAATCAATAATTATCGAAGAGAAAGCGTTGATTCATGTTTTCAGCGGTAGACATTGATATTACGACATCCTTGTCATCGGGGGCATGTTCGTTTTTCCGTAAAGACCTGGATGACGTCGAAGGCCGAACAAACACTAATGTCAAGGATGCATTGGATCGAGGTAGAAACCTCGATCGTGCACGATACGCTCAGAACGCTCGTCACGGTGTCCGCGATTCGATATAGGTATAGATAATTGATTACACGTCACTTGACATCTGTGCAAATACTTTGCGGATTACCTTGCAGTCGTTAACTAATTTTATCGGCGCGTCGGCGTCGTATCGCGATTCACCGGAAACCGTTAATCGAACAAGAGAAAATCTTGTTTGAAATTTTGTCGCGATGCGTCCTAATGTTCTATCGAAATTACTCCAAACTAGAAATGTAATCGCATATTATTCGATCGATATCTTTGCGAGCAATCGGCAACGGTATCGGTACTGTGCCACGATTGTCACGTATGTAACTGTTTTCTACGAGCTTATCTTCAGTAGATCATACAAGGTGTAAGCTCCTTTAACGCTTGAACCTAAAATATTTCCGTTTTTTGCCACAATTCCGTAAACATTGAATTACATTCAACAATTATTTCGCCATATGATTGACGGTTAAATGAATAGAAAGAAATTGAGGTTACGATTAATAAAACGTAAACGTACGTATAACACAAGTGTTGCAAGGCGAAGCTCACTCTTCCGGCAAGGTCGGCACAGATTTTATTTTACACATACCAACAGAGTACACGGGGTATCCGGTAAATCGTGGTGCAACCGGTGACTCTCGCGAAGAAACAAGTAAAAGATACGAAATAAATGTTTTTGATTGGTTGCGTATTTTCCGAGAAAAATGACATTATACGTACAACTAACACAGCAGGTGGAATTAAAAATAAGTAAGATCTACGCGATCCTTAACAGGTGGCTATGTTTTATATTTGTTTTGCGATAGGGATAAAAACCATTTATTTTATATTTCTTAGTTGTTCTTTCGATGAGAAATCACCTGCTCGCCGAATGTACTACTATATCCCGAGTATACTCCCGGATACTCTATATACGTTCCAATGTTATGACACATTTATATGGTTACGTGTAGCATCGATTATTACAAACGATCTTTCAAAGTCGGCGTTAAATTCTGCTCAAACAGCGAAGAATCAACGGTTATTAGAAAGTACACCGTCTCGGGTTAACAGCAAATTTCACGATTACGCAAATCCCGGTGCACATAAACTGTTTAACAGAAATACTCGGCGTACCGTTACCGATTTCGTCCGCACCCGTACAAATATTTCAGCTGACGCTCAGAATCCAAACAAAAATCATTCGCGCAAGTGGGACAGCCGCTGATAGAATGGCACACGGTATATCTCGCAAACGATCGAAAGAGAAAACTTGCATCGAGTTCATCGAAAGCAGAGGTTAACACTGGAGCTGGTTCTTAGAAATTTGTTTGGCGATTGCTCGTTTTTGGAGACGCCCGTACGATAGAGCTTTGTGTTCGAAACCAGTTTCAAGTCGAAGGGCGACCGTTTCAGATCCGGAAAAACGACTTGAGGCGCTGGCAAATTGAACGCCTCATGCAAACGTTCGTAAATAAAAATGCTTTCAATGGAAGCCTAAAAATAGACACCGCGAAAGTGATCATTTTTTTTTTTTTTTATCGTTTCCCGGAGGATTGACCTGCGATCATTCTACGATCTCAATTTTAGTCACACGAGCATCCGTGATCGAGGCTGATGAGTCACGCATGATCGCTTACCTACATACCGGGAATACCCCGATAATTATCTGGAGAGGTGTCCCGTTCGAACATATTTTATCAACAATTTTCTGTACGACCGCGTTTCTTTAATCGGTTCGATGTCTTGCGCACTGCTTCTTATTCTCCTATGACAACATCGACAAACGCTGAATTGTCCCCCGAACTCAACAAGTTAAGAAATACTGCTCTAAAAGCTTAATTTTTTATTCGGAATACCGTGCAGTACATTCGAACAGTCCCGTCTGTCGCCGATCGATTCACAAACTCGCGATATGCATGACAAAACGTTGGAATTCTTAAGCAAACATGCTTAAAAGCGGCTGATTAACACGCTCTTCGTAGAAAAAAATGTTTTGCATCCGAAGACTGAATGCGAAATACGATTAACCAGTTACTATTTTTAAACACTTTTTTCCTATGCGACTAAAATAGGAGGGTCAAAAACATCGAATAAATGCTTGTATCGTTACAACAAAATACGGAATATCCAGAATGTAACTGTACAATGTTCGTATTCCCGTGTCTCGCTCGAGATCGTGAATTAACTTTGTGACGAGGATATCACCTGAAATATCGATGGCAAGAAAAACTTTACGGTATTTTAAAACAAAGAAAAATAGAATTATTATTTGTTTCTGTAACTGATAACATTCAACGCGTTCAAGATTTGAAATCTGTGCTTTATCAGTTTTTTCGATTATCTTGGTCGACCGACCAAGGGCACGGTAAACGCGGGAAATTAACAGAATTTTCCATCGACAGCGATTCTTATACCAATAATATCGTATTATTTTTTTCAGAAATCGTTGGAGCTAGCCAAAAAGATCAATTCCATGGATTCGATCGATGAGTTTCTCAATCTTATTCATGGCGTGCCTATATACCAACAGAGGTTCGGCTTACCTAGTAAGTACTTTCTCGAAGAACCCGTTAACGCATGAGATTTTCATTAAGAATCTGCGCCATTAAATGACCGTACGTTAGGGAAACTGGTTGACTCGTAACGGTTCAAGATAAACCCATCGCCAAGTAATACGATCTCGTAGATCGAACATTATTCGATGAAATCTCTGATTTAAAATTCTAAGAATATACGAGAATTCTATGTATACGGTGAATTTTACGCGATTATGCAGAACCAGCTGCAGTCGCGAATTCCTCGATGTTTAACGAACAAATCGTTGCTAATAAATCGGCAACGATCGCAACAAATATTGTTCAATCGGATAAATAGATTAAACGGAGCGGTGTCTCGTTTGGTGTCGAGTTTACTTGTTTGAACGACGCTCCGTTATCGGCAAAGATGAGATCATTCGATAAACCGTATAACCGACCTCTAAATTAAGAAAAGTTTGATCAACGAAAGAAGGCTATAAAATTCAATGTCGCGACAAACGTAATTCGCAAAAATGCTTGCTATATTACTTGAACTCTGTTTCCTAAATCGAAAACTATTGCGAAACAATCGTTCGATAAAAAAAAAAAAAAAAAAAAAAAAAAAATAGAAAAACGAGTCGTAACGCTAATTTGTTGAATTTGTAGAAAAGTTATTCGAACGATAAGTTTCTTTTGAAAAAAAATTATTGCAAAGAAATTTGTGCTCCGACGCTGTCTAAATGAAAACGAAAAAGAAAATAAACGAATAACTGCATTTCTATCAGTCCCCTGATTAGATTACCGATATCAGCGATAAAGAAAAGGATCCGTGTTCTTTTCTCTCCTACATTTTCGCTCTTCCGAACTCGCGCAAAAGATTTACTCTACACCTGCTGCTGCCATCGTATATTATTAAATGGATTTGATAATTAAAAACAAATTTTTTCTCATTTCGATCGTTGCAACTGTCCACGTTGGCGCGTGGTTTGTTAAAGATCAACTTGTGATCCACGTATTGGGGGGCGAGTGACGGCGTGCAGGGATCCGAGATTGCTATCTCGGACCCAAAGATGTCTAGAAAATCTTTACGATCCTCGAAGAAGTCGAGTTGTTTCAGGAAACCGCCGAAATCGCTCGTATTTGGTACCAGCCGATTACTGATTTCATTTATCTCTTCTAGACTAGGCAATTTAGCTTTTGGTTGGCCAAAACGTGCCGTGGAACTCTTACTTTTACGAGACGATTCCAAGGCTGGACTGTCGGTTGAAATGGAATACGCGATTTGCAGTTTGCACGGTCGCCTCCAAGTGTGAACGCCAGACGTAGCCGAGGAATACGCGTTCCAAGCATCTGCGATCGAGTTAAACCACATTCTCATTATGAAATGTTTCCACCGAGTTTCTTGTCGGGGAACCTGACTTGTCCGACATTAATTTCAAACGAAAAGCTTGATTTCGAAACCGGCAAGTTAGGAAACTAAATTATAGTTCGATAAAGATACAAATAAAATTATTCCTTGCCTCCTTTCCAATGTTTGCGGGAAAATTCTATTTCTCCATCAGCTTCCACATACTTGATGGTGCTAGTTTCAGCGACGACAGGCCCATCTCCTTGACCACACTCTCTCTTGACAGCTTTGACGGTTGGTGCAATTTCCTCTTCCAATTTTATCCTATTAATGCTCTGCTCGATCTCCTCTATGTTGGTCGACGAGATCTCAAGCTTGAAAAGATTGCTGAGATCACCCTCTCTTAAGTCGTAGAATGTGTCGTGCATCGCAGTGATACCCTTCGTATTGATTTCATTTTGGTTAAAATCTTTAATGACGTCATCCTTTGAGAACGTTTCCGGTAATTCTTGGTCGGATGATTCAGGCTGATTTTGATTCTCATTGTTATCAACGTCGACGTCGCTGCGTCGAAATTCCTGAGCGTCATAATTTTTATACGAGAAGATCGTTCTCCTGCATAAAAATTCGACGATTACGACTTGGACAGTTTCCTCGTCCAACGAATCAATGGAAGAAAAACAAAATTCTTTCTCGACTCGGTATTAGAGCTAGGACTATTCAAGTAAATTTACTACCTAATTACTATCAGTTGAATGTTATTATAAAATTCGTTCCTTTTGCTAAAATTCGACAAGTAGTCCTAGCTCTTGTCGGTATTCGCGCATTCTTACCGATCCGCGCGTTTCTTTTCGTAATTGATACAGGTACTGGGTACGATATTCCCAAATATGTGCCGACTATTCACTTTGTGCGTTTCCATGAAAGCTGTTACGTTTTTCCTGCCTTTGATCGTCCTACCGAACCAATCGAGAATCACATTCTCCGAGAGGTGGCTTTCTAAACCATAAGCGAGACCATCGACCAGGGCAAAGTAGCTGTTGACGAATGAAATAGCTTGCGTATACTCATCCATCATCCGCTTACCTAGAACGAGGCAGGATTTGCGACAAAAAGCTTTCCAACTCGCAGTTATTAACTCGAAACCACAAACACCACACTAAAACGAACGTAACAGAAATTCAATGGGCCAATTAAAAACTATTTGTTTTTAGGTAGGATGGGAGATACGGGAGAACGCTCGAACGCCATGCAACCAGTTCCAGCAAAATGTATGCCTGAATTGCAACCAGTTTCTCTAAAACCAGACGACGATCCATCCGCAATCTATTTCCCGTCTTGCACGCGCATCAAAAGATGCGGAGGTTGTTGCAGCCATTCGTTGCTTTCCTGTCAACCGATCGCAACGGAATTTCGAAATTTCGAGGTAAGTTACCGATAGACTAGCGAAAATTGCTACTCCTCCAACTAATTAATTATTACCCATGCTCGAAGGTATTTGTGGTGGCAGTAGATCAGACGAACGGACTGAGCTATAAGGACAAACGCATCGTGCCGCTAGAAGAGCACACGAAATGCGTGTGCGACTGCAGAATTAAGGCGGAGGTAATTTAAAGACAGCCGATAATTGGGATCTTCCTTCTTAAACCAGTACTAACTCGCATTGTGGACTTTAACTCGCGGCTCGCGAACACTTTTGCAAATGCGTTACAGCTCTACTCGTCAATTTCATATGTCGAAGAGAACATATTCTCAAGTTGAAAAAGATGAGTTTTTTTTCTACATTTCAACATTTTTTCGTTCAATTTTTTTTTAGCATTGCAACGAAAAGCAATCGTACGTGAAGGAAGAATGTAGATGCGCGTGCAATAACGTCGATGAGGCGGAGAAATGCTACAACAACAACGACACGAAAGTCTGGAATCCAGAGCTTTGTACCTGTTTCTGTAGAGACGAGTTGGAGTGTTCCACTGGATTTTACTTCGATCAAAACACGTGCAGGTGTGAGCGGAAAGAATAGGGCCACTACTACGGGAATAAGGAAACTTTTCTCTCACTGCACTCTACTATCTTGCATATCTTGTAAGCCGCACGCGTCGCACCAGATCTTTTTCCGCAATGTTCTCTCCCAACGCAAAATCTTGCAAAAATGAGCTTTAATATTCTTTCACTTCCATCTTTCTTCGTAACATTATGCCTGCTTCTGTATTTTGCGATGTTACCAAAAATTGCAAACAATGGAAGCGTATGTCGCTTTTGTTAAACGCTTTTTTCAAATGGTGCATCAATGTATACCTACTGTGTTCTTATTAAAACTTACACGGAAGTTTCATCAAGCAGTGTTGCACGCGAAATGCCAAATTTTTAAATCTCGTATCGATCGAGGACGCTTTAACAAATAAAAATTATTAGGGAATATAATGATGCAACATTGATTTTCTGCGTGTTCTAACGCTTTTTTGTTTATTTTGTAAAATTAAGAAACAATTTTGGATACTCTATACTTAAATATACATTTCAGATGTCGACAAGTACCATTGTCTAGAACTTGGTTTCCAGTCACAAAAGGCACAGACTACAGATTTGGACAAACACAAAAACCAGACAATACACCTCCTGTTATAGTTCCATTGGATGCAACGGATCCTAGGAGACGTCCTAAAGAGGACCCAGAACGTTAATAAAGATGGAAACTAGTAGATTAAATCAAAGGGCTCGCAAGGCAGCTACTTTTCAATGGAATATGCTTACAGCTCGACCTTCCACCTCCGTGCCATTTTATTACAACAGAGACCATGTAATTATAGTATTTGTGAGATAGTATTAATTCAATATTCCAGGATTAAGTCAATATATTTTTACATATTAAATGACTTTGTGATATAAGGAAACATAATTATTTAAATGATATCACCGTATAAATCTACATTTACAAACACGTTATGTGTAAGACAAAATATTATAACATCCCTTTTATCCATACCAAATATTATTCCTAATCTATTCTTGTTTCCTCTAACTCGAATTGTAGTCGCTCTATATTCGATTCCTTTTGACGCTCCTTAATATCTTGAAAATATAGGACCACTGCTTTATTAACCTTTAAGATAGTTCTATACTTCTTACTTATAGAATCGATAGATTCAGATATTTCACCTAAAAATTAATATGTCATTGAATGATACCTCTTATTTTTAGATGACATTAAATGCTATTCTAACAGGAAAAATAATGAAAAAACAGTTAATTTCACTTGGAACATTCACTCACTAATGGAAGACGCGATATCGTTAACGGTCGATTCTTTTGTAATTTTCTGTCGTTTATGTAATTGCTCCATACCAATGAAATCACAGTTTTGTTTTATAGATTATAATATTCACGATTGAAATAAATAAAAAGTGTCCACGTCTAACTCAACAGACATGTAACGCGAAATGGCGGGAAAAACATCTAAATCAGCCGGTCGTATCTACGACGTAAAGTAACAAAATTCCAAAGTTTTTACGTGTAAATTGTATTAAAATATATAACAAACACAAAAAATGGAATCGAATTTTTTGTTGCTACGAAATAAACGAAACCGAAGTAATTTATAACTATATATGGGAATTACCTATTGCTCGAAGAAACGCGAACGATAAACTCTTGCCTGTCGCTTCGAGCTTTAGAGAACACAATAAACAGATAACGTTTTAAACTCGGCATTTCACCTTCACCTTATAGTTTTTTTTAACAATCGTTCTATAGAAACTTATCTCGCTACTGGTAAAGGTTATACAAAAAATTTTACCAACAACTGAACACAGCAAGTATTACTTCCCTGCCACCTAGCGACTAATATTGATATTTAGTATCTTTCTTATAGATCCTCTAGATGTCGTAACGTGAACGATAAATACGCGTGTGCATATGAAACATTTTTAACGAAAACTTACTTGGTCGTTCATTTAAGAAATTGTTTGAATCGGTAACTACATAATCCAGACTAGTACATACAACTAAGTGATTTATTTTAATTGCAAACATATTTAGACTGTAATCGTCTGTTTGTATCACAACCTAACGACATTATTCTCGAAATCTCTAAACTTATTATCTATTCAAATCTTTGTGGAAGCTGACAATCAATTTCATCGATTTTTACGAAAAAATATTCATAGTTTATGGTTACTTAGATCATTGAGATCCCGGAGAGGACTCGCGAGATCGTAACGAAGAAGGACTTCCCTGGTTATATTTCGTGTTCGAGCGCGCGTACACTGGACGAAAGGAGAAAGAAAAGGTCGAAGTGGACGATGAGGCGCCGCTTTTTTTGCGCCACCCGTTATAATTGTCGGAGCCTCGTCACTTTTGCTGCAGCGAAGTATCTCGTTCGTAAGTCGCCCTACGACTCGATTGGTCGATGCATCACGGCAGCTACCTGTAAGCGATTGCTTCGCTCACTGGACAAACAATCGAAGGAAACAAACGAGAGAAAGATAAAATACCAGAAACAGAGAAAACAAAGGCAGCATCCAACTTCCAAAATGCTGCGCGACGTGATCTTCGATAAAAAAAATTTGGAAGTCTACAAACTGGCCCCTTAAATAGATTCTTGTAACTACTAATTACGTCTACCAAACAATTATTAATTTAACGTCTTAAATATAAATATGGAAATTTGACGTAGCATAATATAATCTCGCTCGTGACGGACATGTCATCGGCCGTGGCACGTGAGCGGCTGAATTTGCAAAGCGCAAACACGTGCAGAGATAAACGTGTTTTCCGTTACTTTTTCATCTCTACGAAATGGATCAAGGGTCGCGTACAGCGAACAAAAATTAACCTATATTTTTATTTTAATATTTGGCTAGATAACAATGATCGAATAAACGTTTCCTCTGTTCTTTTATATTCATCGTCAAGGCTTTTTTGGTGCAACTTTGTGTACATTTCGTTCAACAGAAAGATATATTTTTCTTTTATACAGGATTCTTTAAGGAACGTATTTAGCGAATAATAAAAGAGTTTTAATGTACGCGGCTAGTTGTTGAAGACATTCACGAATGCGTTCGATGCAATTTAATCGCGGTACGCGTCACGCGACATTCATTTTTTTTTTTTTTATAACCGCGTGAATGCGGCTTAATTGCATTTGGTAGCGAGAAAGAATTAAAATTCAAAGAAGAATACAGCAGTGGGTCCCCGGGAAAAAAACCGGTACTTCGCCTACGTATTTTACGCCACTTTCTTGCGTGTACGCACGCGTGTATCGCTGTCTCGTTTCATCGCGCTTTTTCTGGCCTCTCCTCCTCAAGGACTCTCCTCTGGAAGGCCTGCGTAGTTGGTAAGAGGCTTCGGGATCGTAACACAGTAGCCAACACGGTGGTAGGTTTAAATCATATTAAAGCACGTCCAGGCACCGGGAACCGTAACCCTGGATTACTGCTACAAATCGTCCCGTACGGGGAATTCCGCGCGCCAAGTAATTCGATCGGCTTTAGAAGTCCTGCTAATCACCAGGAGGACCTCTTCGCTAGTTCTACGCATCGATTATGTTTATTTTTATTTTCTTTTTTTTTTTGCAAATCGTGACGTCGATATTCCCTCGAGAATGAAACTTCGAGTCTCCATAACGTTGTCGTAGAGATGGCGTTGCCATAACGTTAGTATCATTAACACCGTTAGAATGACGTATTTCATTCCGAGGCACAAGTACGCAATCAATGGTGCGATTCTTTCACACCTATCGTTAACCGGGAATAACACGAAAGACGAGGATGTATGATAAAGTGATCTCGTGGAAAGTTACGAAACAACGTGGGCAGCGACGGTAGAAAATGGCGTGGGTCGTGACGGTCTGAGACCAGGTGGAACGTGTTTATACAAGATACGACTTGATAAGACACCACCGAAGCTCGACGAAGAGCTTAGTTACGGAAGACACGAAATGACCAATACCCGAAACCGAACGAAAATAAGCAAATTTGTATCTGCAGCGATAAATGTAATTTCGAGCTCTCTTAGAAATTTAAATCACATTCAAATTCGGAGTAGCCATCGAGTTCGACCATGAATCACGACGAAGATCGCGAAGAAACTACTCTTGGAAATTCTCAGCTAAGCCTTAAGTTCCATCCGTCTATCGAGAACTTAGACATTCGTAGATGGCATTTACGAGACTGGACAGCCGGTTCGTAGGAAGTCGTTGCGATTAATTCCATCGAGGATTCAATACGTGAGACGCGACGGAAAGAATGAACAACTCGCTTTCGTATTAATATTTCTTTGCGTGTTGTTAATGGCCACACAAACCATGATATCGAATCGAATATAATGTGTTTGTCACGAGATTTGTAATTTGTCGACGCTACCCCGATTTGGAACGAGTACAAATTTTCTTTTTCACAAGAACAAGCATCTTTCTTCTGTACCTTTTGCGCTGTCGTACGTATCTCCGCCGCAAAACACATGCCACGAACGAATCGTTCACCACGCGTGATCTTCAAGTATAATCGTGTTTCTACGTAACTTAACGAACTTTTTTTAAGCTTGCAAATTCTTGAAAAGATTTTCAAAATCTGCAACCAACGCGTTAACGTTCTTTCGAGCGTTGTGGTTCTTTGTATCTTTTGTGATCGGTTAGAAAAAATAGTTTGCTCGTGGATAGTTTTTGGCTCGTAAGAGCCACAGGACCATGTTTCCATCCACGGTCGTGCCATCAATTTCTCCCTACGTCATAGAAATATTCCAGCCCACTTTGACTTCGTCTTCTTCGATCTTCTTCCTCTGTTTCTCTTGGTCCGCGAAATCACCAGTAGCTCCGTTCGAATTCTTCTCTTTCCTTTCGTTCTCCGTCGCTCTTTTGTGTTCCCTGGTGCACGTTCAGCTCCCGTTTTACCGATTGAGTGTTGACCCCGCTGCGTCACGCTCGCATGGTGCAGTTTGTCCGAAAAGTATACAGACCAGGGATGATAACCGATCTAAAAATAGATACGTCTAAATCGCGGCACTGTGCTGCCGATGTGTAACGAATAGTGCCTGAGAATTGAATTTTTCGCAGCCGTGTCGTTATTCATGTAACCAATCAGCGCCAAGTATCGAGCCGAAGCTTAAATTGACAACGAAATTGGCAACGCGATTTACGCTGCAAGGGTATATCCATCATTTTTCATCTACACGCGATACGAAACCACTTACGTGAAATTGTGAACCGTGCGCAAAAAGACCAGGGCGAGGGGAACCTCGATCATGATCGGTGTATTTGCGATTATTATGCGATTCTTCTTCGTTGAAAATATATGTAAGTGGCGCCGGAGCAGCTGTTCGAATCTCCCGGATTAAAAAAAGGAAATCGAGTTACGAGCAAAGGTACGAGCGCTGCTGATTTGCAGATAGAAATATGTGTAACCGCAGTCGTACTCAATTTGTACGCATTGGCGAAGGTGAATTATCGAACGATCGAGCCAATTACATATTTTTTCCAGGTGAAAACGTAATCGTAACAACGTTATCGAGTACTTGTTCCCCGTTCATGTAATTGCGGGAAATTACAGAAAAAGAGAGATGTCCGTATACGTGCAAGGAACCGTGTAGAACGACGCTTAGCATCGATGGCATTAACCCTTTCGTTACGGCTGCTGTGCCGGCCAAAATGTGGCCGTGCATTCTGCGAGCCGTACACGCAGTCCATCGTTTCGTTTACTCATAGAATACACGGCATTTTCAACGCCCTCGATAAACGGTCTTTCGCCGGGATCACGATTCTTCGTTTTTCCTTTGAACGCTATATCTACGAGTATATCCAGCGCTTACAGCTTAATCGAACTGACTTCGTATAAGCGAAGTATGTATTCAGAAGGCGGCAACGCGGTACATGATCAACGTCCACGCGAGTAACGCGTAAACGATTAAGAGCTTTCTCGTATCGAGGCCGTTTACGCGACGCTTTACTCCGATAGCGTCGCGAGAAATCACCAAGTAATTTTAATTCCATTATTTATATCGAATCGAGTATCGCGGGGCGAGATGTAAATTACATCATACTCGTACACCGTTGGCTCTGAACTCTTCGCATCACCGACGTTGAGACGACGCAGCAAAAGTGGTATTGTTCGTTGATTCAATGTATTCGCGCTATTTACCGTTATACGTGTATACATATATTCCGTTTCTTATTACAAGTTTTTCGCAAGGGTACGTCCTATCGCTCGCTAAGAAGGTATTTATATTCTCGAATGACCACATAAATAACATATCTCGTCACGTTCAGCATTCAAAGGAACAAGCAGAGACATCGAAAATTTTCTCCACGATGTCAAATCGATAGTAAAACGAAGAGATGGAAACACTTGACCGAGAGTGATCCAATCCAAGAGATCAAGAGTTTTGTGGATCCGGATCCGAGGGTCGAATTCGATCCTGCATCTCGCGTGTCTCGACACGCTTCGTTGTCTCTTCTCTCTCGACGAGCATCTCTAGATCTCACCCTCCCTCTCTCTAACCAATCATCCTCCCTTTTCATCTTCTACGATCTCCTCTCACTCGCTCACTGACTCACTTACTCGATGGAAACAAAAGGAGCAACTGGTGTTGGCAGAGAGAAGTGGAGGAAAAAAGAAACCACGAGAAGAATCCCGTCCGCAGTCTCTTCCACTCCCACTCTTCTGACGAAGGGGAATCGCCGAGCAGCAGCGTGTTCGATGGAGAGACGAGAACGCGAACAGGCGAATATGGAAGGATAGAGGGTGGAAAAGAAGGAGAGAGAGGCGCAACAAAAGTAGCCGTGACGCCGCGCAAAGCGAGCAAACTGAACGAGTAGCCGTGGAAGAAAAAGGCAAAA